TTGTCGTCTTCTTCGTGCTCTATATCACGATCATCGTGTTCGCGCTCATCAGAGCCCCTTAGAAAGCGATGACATGTTTGTGATGACAGTGTTTTCGCCTCCAATGTGTACAACTGACAAACATCTTGGAGATGATCAAATTTTAAAGGGCTGACTGTGCCTAGTACTTCGCCTCTACCCTCTAGACATCTCCTCACCCATTGCCCCCCACCCCAAAAATGGGCATCCCAATGTATCCCTACCTTTTGTTTGGTGCCGGATTGGCTCGTTGCATCCTCTATCGACCCGTTGCACCCTTCGACCGGTGCAGCTGGTTGCTGCATGGCATTGAACCAAAGAGTGAGCCAACCCGACAGTCCTCCCGACGACGGAGACCCTATTCTTGCAAGAAGAGAGTCGACGAGACCAACCTTCAAAACTTGAAAAACATGAAAAACGGATGCAACCACTATATAATCCGACTTTTGTTCCAAGACAGGGAGTGTAAAACCACATGTACATATATATATATATACAATTAGGGGTTAAAATATCATCGAGAGTGTACAATTAAATGAAGCTGAATTTCCCCGCTTTGTTGAGGCGGTTTATATAGGAATGGGTGTTGTAAGATCTTTTTACCGCCCAAGGCCCCAAAGGGAATGTGCTGATACACCAAGTCTACCTGGTAGATTTGGACTGGAGGTTGTTAACCACCCTGCACCACTGTGGCCAGGAAGTCACGAAGAGATTCACAGGTGGTTGATGGCCCGGAGGCAGCAAACCATTAGCACTTTGTGGGGAGTGTTTAAGCTTTGTGTAGCTGCACCTTTGTACAGGTGGTTGGTTTGCTTCTGATTGCTTCTGATCCACTGGTTTCCTGTTTTCGACGTGGGGACTTCGCTGGTTCAGGATAATGAATGGGGGTGTCCCTGCAGACCAAAAGACCCGCCGCGCAGTGTCCAAAGAGTTCTGACTCAGCCTCCAAGCCTTGACGCGTCAGGTCATTACGGCGGTGTTCTTGAAGGATACGCTCGACGCAGCCAACAATGACGCAGAGTAGGGGGCTCTCAGGTTGTTACGTACGTTCCGTTTTTTTGGGGGGTTGCGCAAGGTACCAAACTGCAAAGGACTGCAGACATGGCCTGCGACTGGGGTTACTGGTCGATGAAACGGAGTTCGCTTAAAAAAAGGGACTTCAAAAAGCGCGCTATAATAGTGGAAAAGCACATTCCTGAGGTTGGGATGTCTAGCTCTCCTCGAAACGAACTTCCTGGAAGGGTTGACCTCAAAAGCTGGCTCCCCCTTTTCAGAGTGGCCTCAGATAAAACATACGTGTTTGTGCCCAGATGCGAAGGGGTCGGGCGATTCCGCGCTGCGCAAGGCGCCTTTTCTCCGTTTTGGGACGATGACGAACATGCGTGGATGGCATGGCCTGACAGGGAAGACTTTCCCTTACAAACAGGAGGTTTTTTTCCATTTCAATCTTAGTCTGAGTCTGAGTGTACCCGTGATACGCCCGACCCTCACCGACCCTCAAGGGCTACTCACCGACCGTGAAGGCCCCAAGGCTTCTCGCTTGGGTTCCAAGTGCCGGCATTGCTTGCGGCGTCCAGGTTGCTGCAGCTACAATTAGGTTAACGCCTCTTATGAGCTCCTATCATCATCATCACCATCATCATCATCGTCATCATCATCATCATGATATATATATATATACAGATATACACATACATACAATCTGATCCGATCTGATCCAACAGTGGAAACTGGGATTTTGAAAAGGTGTTCATACCGGTTTCTTACAGCAGAACCTCCTAAAAACCATGGCTTAGGATCCACATGGGCGGACTCGTCGGTAGCTTGGCAGTCCGCTTGTAAGGAAGCAGCCAAAAAATGCTCGTGGATCTTGCTACATGTGCGGCGATGTTCTTATGACGACTATATATAAGTGTTTTGAACACACAGCAGTTAGTTGTTCAGTGCTGTTTCATTTCAGTTTAGCCAGTTGTGTTTCTGCGTGTGTTTACCTCTACTAGCTGTCTGGCTTTGTGGCAAGTGATTGAAGTCACCCAAAGTACTTCCAACATCTTCCAACACAGCTCTGACGAACGCATACCCACAGTTGACCCTTGCCCTTGGTTTTCCGGTCTGATTCCTGGCGTCATATGGTGTAGTGACATGTAGTGACAGGTCACCTTTCATGTTTAGTGCGGGTGTGGAACAACGAAAGGACAGGGATAGCATGCACCTGGGTCTTCCATTTTCATGTGGGGGTGTTTTGGGGCCATAGGGAGTAGCTGGGTAGACTGGTCAATGTTCCGAATCCGAACCTCCCCGTCCGTCTCAAAAGGGAGGTCTACATGTTTTAAGACTCGATGTGACCGGGCGGAGTCGACCAGCCAGTAGAACTTGAGTAGAACTTGCCCCAGCTTACTGAACAACAAGTGCATGTGGTGACCATCCCTATAAGGTTTACTGTTGATTGATGAAACCTCCCTCCTTGGATGGTCACTTCAGAACACAGCCAAAACTTATGTTTTTCAAAGAAATTACAGAAACCTTACCAAACAATACCCCTTTCCTTCCCCGCGGTGCCTCTCCCGGTGCCAGGCTCCGGATGGCTGAAGGCTTGCGGAAGAAGGCGGAATACGCCACTGGGCACCGAGTGTTGAAACACTCGCGGCGCGCTCGCGCGGGGCCAACGAATCCGCTGAGTCTTTTTCGCTGCGACGGAGCGAAGACGGCGTCGTTGTCCGGTCGTGCTTTTTGGGGTATCGAAACAGCTGAAGCAGTCGGCAGCAGTGGACCCTTGATCACAAACCCAGCCAAGCAATTCGGAATGGTTTTGTTGTTGTGATAGATGACGAATGATGATGAGTTGATAAGTATATGTATATATATATATATTAGATTGATGTGTGAAAAATCTGATTCAGAATCCAGGAATCTTGACACTCCAAGAAAAACTTGCCCAGGCCATGTGTTTGGGCATGTTTGGGCCATCCAGCTGCCAACCCATGGCATGACCTTTCCGAAAACAAACAAAAAAAAAAAACGTTGTGTTTCGAAGAAGATAGAGGTGCGAATCACGCAGACTTCCCATAGAATCCGTGAACATCAGTTCATGGCATGTTCTTCCAATTAATGCTCATCCATCCATTCCATTTCTCTGAACAATCCGGTCCTCAGAAAAGCTCATTCTATTGCTGATCGTCTCTGTTTCCTCGAGACGGGCGTTTCTCTCGCCTCGATCATCCGGCAGCACTTCTTCTCGCCCAGGTCGAGAAGTTGGAAGGCATTTTCCAAGCGATCGATGACACAGGTCCGCTTGGTTTCCGCTCGCCGTGTCGGACCAGTGGGACCGACCAAAAAGAGAGAGAACAGACGGCGTTTGGTTGCTGACGTTTAGCTTTGTTGATGCTTGTGATGTGGTTTGTTATTGTACAGATGTTCATGGTCAAATTATGTATACTAATGTGCACGATTTATCCAACCATCATCTAATATGTATAGCCTAACATGCCTAACCATACAACAAAACACACCATTATTATTTAGTATCATACGCACACACACTTTTCAAGTGTCTTTCCTCTCTTCTTGGATGTATTCCCATCGGTACCCCCCACCCTTCATGAAACAAACCAGCTTTTTCTGCACAGATTCCAACTGGAGACACTTGTCACTCCGTAGACTACAACATCATACAACCAATCCGTAGTCTTTGGCACTTCTTCGCCCAGTGCGCAGGAATCAGACTCGCTTCTTTCGAGACATCGGCTCGGCCGAACAGACCCACCCGACCGGCAGTCCAACCGGCATTCCCAGCGGAGAAGATCGAGTGATCAGCGTGAACGGCAGGTGATGGCATGATCACGGAAGAGAGACTCACGCTGCTGGGCGACCACCGGTGTGCGGAAGGTGAGTTCACCCCACCGCCGGTCGCCGTTGGGGAGAGCGCTTTTTTTTGGGGGGTATCACAGATGGTTTCTCTCGCAGAGGCCAGTGCTGGGCATATAGATTTATGATGACCGACCTATTGTTTGAAAGTGTTTGGCACTGCATAGTGGCATAGCATAGTCAACAAATAGTAGCAATTTGGTGGAAGTATAAAGAGTCACTCTTTGCTCACTCACTATATTTTAACAAGTATCTTTATCCTGCCTGATTGAGCTTCCATTTGTTCTACAGTAATACACCCAAGTTCTTTTTGCCAAGAGTTGGACCAAAGACGGTGACCACATGCATCATAGTTGGATGGCATCCTACTCTTAGGCAGTTCTATTTTTTGTGTTTTTTACAACATCTTTCTGTGGGGTTCTTGCGTCCATTTGCGTCCCGTCGCCCGTCGCCCACCCTCAACCTGTCGCCCGTCACTGTCCCGTCACTCCCTCGCTCGCTCACTCACACAATCAAGCCATCAGTCAATCACTCTCACTCGCACTCGCACTCTCACTCGCACTCTCTCTCACTCACTCACTCACCCACTCACTCACTCACTCTTGCTCACTCTTTCTCGCTCACTCACTCATTCTCCCTCACTCATTCTCCCTTACTCGCTCACAGGCTCCCTCCCTCTCTCCCTCCCTCCCTTACTTTGGTATCTCGGTCACAAATTGATGCGACCAGGAACGTGGAAGCTCTTCCTGCGTCCTTGTGACGTCATTCTCCAAGGGCAAACTGTTCCCCCTTTGGATGAAGTATTGCTAATTTCTTCTGGCGGTGGTGCAGGGGCCATTGCCCTCAAAATGGTTGACATCCACATGGACCTCACAGGCGTTGGCGCCGCACAGGTGTCGGCTGGCGCTTTCAGCATCCTGTTATCCAGCCGAAGGCTAAAGAGATGAATGTGGGTTTGCAGGATCTTCACAGCTTCAAGGGTCCCATAGGAGTTGGTATTGGTCCTTTCTTGGGTGCCAAATGGTCCGTGCTTTTGGTTTCAACCTTCACTTGGGATGGTGCCTCATGTCTCACATGTTTCAAGTGAGTTGAAGGCCCCCACCAGTTTCCTTCTGCCAGGTGGAGTAAACAGTTCACCCCCCAGTTCGCCCCGGTCCACGACTCGCCAAACCACGGAACGCCGCTGAGGTTTATTTTGGATAATCCCAAAGTCAAGGCCTACTTCCAAACCTTGGACGTCGACGTGCACGAAGGCAGGGGGCCGGGAACGCTTTGGGGGGCCGAGCCCGCCCGCCATGCCCCGATCTCGGAGCCGCCGGCAGTCGAACGGAGAGGTTCCGTGCGCAGGCAGTCGACGAACGGTCGTGTTTGATAGTGTTTGCATGCAAAAACATAATGCACGTGAAATCGCGATATCCAGTGCTGGTGAAAATTCCGAAAGTTGGGGCTAAAATTCCCAGCATGCATGGGCTGTTCCTGCTGCATCCATCGGTATCCGCACAAGTCCCTACAGTTGCCTTTGCAATCCGACTCCTTTCCTTTTAACAATCTCTGGAGTGAGCAGGATGTGGAGGCCTCCTTCCACTTGAAACAAGTCTGGACCTTTCGTCCGAACTGGAAGATAGGTGACTTGGGGGTGTCTTTTTTTGGTCCTACTGATAAGGGGCTAATCATGTTGATACGCGGAGTACAGACGGAGTACGAGAGGAGCAGTGGAGCAGTGCGGAGCGGCGAAGACTCATGTCGACCCATTCGCTGGTCCACCGTGCCAGGATGGGATCAAACTGACATCATGACATATACCGTTTTCCGGGGCCCAGGGTCTTTAATCTTCCGCGGGGTTGGTATGTTCATGTATTTTCTAAAGCACATTCTTCCATTCTTGTTGACACAACTCTCACCCACTGTTCAAAGGAGAAGGTGGCGAGAGCCTCCAAGTACAAGCTTCCAAGCTTTACACCCTCTGAAATGATAATTCAAGATGATGGAAGTGGCTTGGCACTTGTTGGTACAAAGGACGGTGGTCATCCAAGGGTCCATGCCTTCCAGTTTTACGATCCTTTCAGGGATTGTATTCAGTTCGCTTCGCAACGATAACCATCCGCACTACTTGCCCTGAGAGACAGCACAAGGAAAAGATTGAACACCGCCGCAGAGATCCACATATAGATACATATAGTATATTGATTCACTGCATAGTACGGTTCATCTCTAGGGCCTATGTTGATAGTTTGTCAAAATCGCTCTATGGTCCAAAATATATGTATGTATATAATATATAGTCTGTATAGTATGTAAGCTTGCAATGTTCTCCATTTATATGCTGTATACTTCATTCATACACTGCATGTTTATCTCTAGGTCTTACGTTGATCATGCAATATCAGGCATATTGTATAGCTTTGTGTAACAACTCTTTTTGCACCCCATTGAATTTGTATGTTTTGGCCCAAATTGTATCCAACAATACCTGCAAATGTATCCCCGGTAATCCCCGTTAAAATTCCTCTACAGAATGAGGGCCTCGAGGCCCTATATCAGCAGGTCATTTTGTAGACAACTCATTTTTGGCTCTACATAATGACAGCCATTTTCACGTTCAACATCATTTTGTAGAGAGGTTTCAAGGGTACCCCCATGTCAGGCATTTTGTAGTGAAAAATACATAGGATTTTGAGAATTTCGGGCTCGAACATTTGTCATGTTGTAGAAACAATAATTGACAGTCTCATTTTGTAGAGATTGTCGGGCTCGAACAACAGCATTTTGTAGAGAATGCATGTTGTAGGTATAACTGCGGAAGAGGCATTTTGTGGAGATTTTTGCGCGATGCATTTTGTAGAGATCTTCAGTCGAGTGTGGAAGTAGCATTTTGTATTGAATGTATCTTAAAGAGTTTGATATCATTTTGCAGGGATATTCGGGCCATTCGAGTCGAGTCTTCCACAGCATTTTGTAGACGTTTCCCCACCCCAATTTAGGTATCATTTTGTAGACTGACTTCTTTCGGAGGTGCCATTTTGTAGAGCCAAAACATGTTATTCTACAAAGTGACTGTCACGACCCCACTGTGTAGACTATTCAGACGCAAAAAGCAAGGCTCATTTTGTAGACACGAGATCCGAGTAGATCCGAGTGATCCGAGTAGGTCATTTCTTAGAGATGAATTCAACCCAAAAGGACTAGAGCCATGCTAGGGCCATTTGGTAGACAAGATGTACTTTGATTTCGACCTCATTTTGCGAGTCGGATGTCTTGTAGACAAGAACATTGTAGAGTCATTTTGGTACAACCGGGGTCATTTTGTAGACAAATGTCATCAAATTTGTCCACAAAATGATGTCATGTACTTCATTTACTAGGCAAATCAAATTTTCAATTTTATACGAAATGATGTCGCGTAAATCATTTTGTAGGATGAAGGTGCCATTTTGTAGAGGCAAAAGCGTGTTTTACAAAATGCCTGTCACCACCCATCTCCTATATTTTAACGGGGATACAAATGTGTTATTTCCCCATTGTGTTTTGTTTGTAAACATTTATCAATATGTTTGTTCACCCACTGCATGGTGCCGTTCATCTTTAGGTCTTATCAGTCTTATCTCGATCATGCATATTGTATAGTTTATTGTAACCGTTCATCTTCAGGTATTCATGTTTCTTGTAATATAGCTGTGTATATATATAATATTCGTCTTACTTTATAACTTTATGAACTTTATGTCTCATTGTTGCATCACTTGCATCAACAGGTCCATGAAAGGCAACCGCATGATCCCTTTCAACAGTTTGGGTCATTTGTCACTGCAAGCATACCACTTCATTTCCTGTCCGAGATCATATGACACACCTCCTCCACATCAAATGTTGCGAAGCCGTTCATTTTCCCTGCGTGTCTTGATGGCATGTGTTCTTTAACTTCCCCTCCAGACACACCTCATGATGCAGGATGTGCATGTCCGCTCCCAAACAAAAAACACTTCACTTCCCGCGCACGAGCTACCCCTCTAGGAGCTCAGTGCACGAGCCCCAGTACAATCAAGCCCCTCAGCACCCTCTGTTCATACGGTGCGCCCCAGCATTCGCAAATCCTCAACGCCATCGGTAAGGCGAAGACATGATCCTGCCTCAGCCGGGGTGCGAGGCTTCTCAAGCAATCATTCCAACTCTAAGTCCTGCAACAGTAACATTGCAGGCCCGTCCAAGCTGGGGCCCCGGTGTCCCATTCCTAAGAGTGCTAGCCAGCCTGCTTCCAGTGTGCGCACTCCCAGAAGTGTTGCTACTCCAGCAAGCATGGCCAAAGAACATTCTTCCAGTTCTCTGACCGAAAAGAACCTGCAGAACCACATCGCTTTGCAAAGTGTGATCAAGAACAGTTTTCCTTCTGAATATGAACGGAAACTCGAGGATGCCAAGCCGCCAAACAACAATCAATGGTTTGATTGGGTTTGCCCCGTGTGTCGAGAGACCGTACCCATCAAAGGATGGCACTATGGTAAGTATTACAGAGGGAAGCATCTCAAGCTTGCCCATCAGATGAAGCTCAGCCAATGCCCTCTGCCTGGTACACAGGCCCATACTCAACGTGCGCAGCTTCGTGCAAAACAAGCCGTGGAACAAGGCGTTCGGCACCACCCAAAATGCCGGATTGAAAGAACTCTTCCCCAAACAAACCACCTGGCTGTGTGCCACTTGTTTGTGTCGTGGCACCACTGCTAAAGTGGCCACCTATGACTGCGAGCCTGATAGCAAACAGGTCAAGCGTGCTCGATGGTGGAAGCAGCTAACTGCAATTGGCCACTGCCTTAAAGTGGACCAACGAATACAAAAACCGCATGGACAAGCTGTTCCGTGACACCCTCCAGAAATCCAAGCATCATAAGAAGACTACAAACAGTGTGAAATACAACCAAATGCTCAAAGAACAACGGGCCATTTGGAGGTAAACGCATGGGGTTTCTGAGGATCCAAAGAAAGTCGGCGGGGCTGCCAACAAACATGCAACATTCATCCCTGCCCTCCGGAAGACTTTAAAGTTGAAAGATTCTGCAAGCAAGGCGTCCAAAGCCGCCGACGCCAAGTGTGCAAATGTTGGCTTGAAACGACACTGGCAGGATCTTACCGAGCAAGGCATAGAATCACAGCCGGGGCCAAGGAGTGCTCCGGGCCAAATGATCCGTATTTTTCAATGCAACCTGTTTTCTTGGACGCAACGTGGGTCAGACCTTGTCAAGCTGGCTGACCAGGAAGGCGTCTCTGTCATCCTAGTTCAAGTTCAAGAAACTTTGTTGAAAGAACATGAAGCAGCCACTGTGGCTCGTAGTTTGAAAGATTGGCATTTCTACCATCAGACAGAGCAACGGGCGGTGTTGCCGTGCTCATCCACAAAGCTCTTCCCAGTGCTCGAGTTAATGGCGAATGGGTTACGGGTGTAATTCCTGACATGACCTTCACTTGTGGGAAAAGTCTGTCGGCATTTGAATTCCACCCTCACCCTGATAGCACTACGTTTCATGTCGCCATGCTACGTAGGTGCCGCTCTCTTCCACATTTTGGATGACGGAGACGGCGAATGCACGTTGGAGGAAACAGCGATGGGTGGGGGTTGCATGATCTGCAGGGGTGGATGGATTTGTAGATCGGATGGATTTCTCGCGAGATCGGATGAATTTGTTTGCCAAAGCCACACACAACACAAGACCATTGCAAATCATGTTAGGCACTTAGAGACGTATATATGTATAGTTATATGTAATCAACAATCAAGAGAAACACATTTCCATTGTCACAGATGCCTTGGGGAGTGCCTTGGGTTGTGAGGGGTTACGGTTACGCGGGAAAAACAGCGGGACTGACTTTAGCGCTACCTGGAGGAACGTAGGTGTGTACATTGGCGAACTCTCTGAACTCAGAAGCAGCAACCGCAAACTGGCCCTTTCTAGATCCGAGGAGTTTCACGATTGTTGGATAGCAACATGCAGATTTACACATGCATTTATTTGCTTTGTCAATGTTTGTCCTATAAAACTGTGCTTGTTTCCATACTAACAAGGTACATAAAGGGTACACTCACCTATTCTAATTTAGAAGCTGAAAACTGAATATGTTCTACCTGCTCTGACTAGAATAGCGGTAACTCCATGGCCATCCATGGCCTCAAGACTCCGACTGGACAAGGCTCCCAGATTGAATCTGCGGCCTTTGGTGAAACATCATGAAAGCCTCAGACCAGCCATTGAATACGTTCTTTTTTGGTGAGGTTTCTCCTCCCCGCTTTTTGGCTCATTTCCTCCAGACTTCCTCTTGGATGCCCTGCCCGGTTCCCCCACAGACCGCTGATTTTTTCAGGAGTTCATCGGTGGAATCTTGCGCTGCAAGGGCCCCGCACGCGCCATCGACCAGGTTGCCATGATGGCAGCTCCTTGGCTGAACCGAGGCCCATAGGTCAGGGGAAGAGCTTCATTACTTGCATGTTGCTATTGCTTCTGTGTAATTCGCCTCTTGCCTTCGAAGCTCAACATGATGATGTGCTGAAGCTTTTGGCAGCTCTTCAACGATTCTTCTGTCAAATGATTTGTTCATTGATGGTGTCTCATGACTTGTGAGCGCTTCTTTGAGCAGATGCGGGCTCTAGCAGGACCGAACGACGACTCTTTGTAGCGGTGGATCGGGTTGGTGGACCCGTGACCCACGTTTCGATTCAACTCATTTCGTTCCAACCGGGCTTTGAGACAGTGGTTAACCGATGTTTTCTTTCTTTCTTCTGGAACGAACGAAGCAGACAACGGACAGGAAGGTCACTCCCCAGTCCTTCTCCCCAGTCGTCTCCCCAGCCGCGGACCTTCTGGGGTTCCGGTTCCCAGGGTCCGAACTTAGTGATCTGTAGAACTGACGATGCTATCGACCTTGGGGGAACGAGACCTGCGAACGTGCATGGGCCGAACATCCATCGGCCAATCGGACCAGTTCTCGGTCCGATTGAAGCTGGTAACTAGACAAGACTGACAAGACTTCCATGTAGACTCTTGATTAATAACCCCCCATATCCCCCCATATGAAGAGGTGTACTTGGTGTTTCTAAAAGTGTTTTCCAAATTGACACTCCTGGTTCCATGCCTTCACCACATATTGACCAGCTGACCTGCTCCTGTTCGATTCAATCCACGGTCTCACTGCACACACCACATGATACCACGGCACCACGGTTGTTCTGTTCTCCAAGGACTTGCGACAGTTAGACAAGAAGTTATCCAAGTTGATTCAAGGACTTCACGCGGCTTGGTCAAACATGGTCAAACGATGCGTCGATGCGTCGAGGTGGACGGTGGATGCCGGGATCATTTGAAACCGATTCAGGCCAGAGTATGGTTGAGTATACGTTGGTTGATTCAGGCATCCTGCACGACTTGCAGATGTTTTTGGTGTTATTTTTCTATGCAAGGTGCCTGAGATATTGATATTGTTCAATGTTCTTACCGCGTTTACCTGAAGGCAAGACGTTGGTTTTGCAGCTTCCAATCCCTGACATCAAACCGCTGGCTGGTTCTGCACCCAAACTCCACACTCCGAGGGCCTCCCTGCAAAAGTGAGGGATGTGGTCCTAAGTAGAAGATGCCAGTCCAAGGATCCTTTGATAGGTGAAGGGACCATGATACGCGGTTTTGCTTAGGCTATCTTAGGCTTATGTTGGACAAACTACAGGCTGTGAATTCTCTTCTGGGGAATATAGTGGATCATCAACTGTTGGCACACAGAGTCACAACAGACTAGTTAGCACATGGAAACGCACTTGATCTATTTTCTGTGCTGACATCTTGGGTCTGAGCCTGTATGTGTTCGGCGCTGACACGACATGTTTTTGATGTTTCCCGGTTCAAGAAGGAGCCAGACCAAGGTCAGGTCAAGGGGGGGATGGTTCTCAGCAATCCTTAGACCCGTTCGCCTGAAAAAAGACCCACCGTTTTAACAGTGTTGACCTGGCTTTGTTTTCGAAAATCCTGCGTAAATCAACGATTTTGGGGTAGAAAACTCACCCATTACATGTAACTATAGGGTAGGCTTTTGTAGGGACTCGTGGGGCTGTGAACTCACGGAGCGTCTGGGAAGTTCATCATGCCGTTTCCACCACCCCTGGGGGGCCTCCTGGCCTCCATCAGATATGACCAAAGTGAAACAAAGCAGGTCTGCTCAGAGATGTATCTCAGCCTCGGTCTATTCAGGTATAGCCCTGGGTGTGTTGCGGTGTTGCCATCAGCTCTAGAGACTCCAGAACTCAAGCAGAACTCAAGTTTTCTTGCTCAGATCCACTCAAACTCCTATGTTGCTTAAGGTGACTGTTTATGAGGTTTAACTCCCTTTCTTGTTAATATTTCATATTATATATTATATATGTTTGTTTTTTTCCTGGTTCCTGGTTGCAAATCCAAGAACTTGGGTCTTCCAAACAGCCCCACCTTCCGATTCCTCAGACGCGAAGAGCGATTCGCCAAGGACGCGCAGATTGTCGTGATTAACGTGCGGGGCTGAGCGCTCGCTGGTTTGTGGTGATGGGTTGGAGGTGATCTTAGTGAAACAAACAGGGTGGACGGTGGGGTCCAATGAAGCTTGAAACACACGCAGACATCTGCGGCAAGCAATGCTGCAACATCTATAGACTCACCAACTGGGGGAGTTTCACTTATGCCGTAGTCATGAGGTGACATCAGCTTTTGTGGTGCATGGGTTTGTTGTAGTTATAGCATTCACCGTCATTCACCCCAGAAAAACAGGAATTTTTGCAAAGTAGGTTTTGGGACCAAAAGCAAGCCATGTGTGGGGACCAACAAGCAAAACCCCACGTTTTCCGTGGCGGTGGTGAGGTCATTCATGATCTCTCCCCTCTTGGGTAAGATGTTTGAAGGTTGGATGTTTTTGCTTCGCCAGAGTGAAACATCAAGAGATATATATAGATATATACCTGGACCGAAACTTGAACGGGGTGTCCTGGCTGGAGGTCCCTTAGTAGTGGGCTGGGGCTTCCAGCCAGGTGACCCCTTTGAAGGTGCTGGCACATATATATATATAATATAATATATATATATATATGCCTAAAAGCCAAACAAGACGTATATATATATATATATTTGCCTAAAAGCCAAACAAGAAGCGAACATGTCTTTTTCCAGCTGCAAATTGCGGGGTTCTGGGAACGAAGCGGCTTGAGAACCAATTTTGGCCGCTCCTTCCGACCGAACTCGGGAAGAGTTCGGTTCGAACCAACGGGGCACCGGGGCACCGGGGTGTCGCATGACTTCAACGTTTCCACGAATTGGGGGTGTAAAACAGAGGGTCATAGAGGCGGTCTCGATCCTTCAGGGACGGATGACTCGGAGATGAAATCCGGGTCCGATCCCATGTCACTTTGGACATGGGTTCAAGAAGCAGATGCTGTTCAAGAAGCCAGTTTCACCCTTTGCAGTGTTGGTTCACTGAATTACCCCAAAAAGTCTCCCTCCTTTTGGAGCCAGTTTCACCACCCCTCCAACAGACGACCTTTCTTGGGACCTGTCACTGGAACATCAAGATCTCTACATCACGGAACTGAAGAACGGAGCAGGAACTGAGGATCCAAACGGTCAGAGCATACCGCATGCCCTTTGGGGAGGTCCAAGTGATTCTCAAACCCGGGAAGGTCACACTGTGACTTCCAGCTTTTGTGTTTCTCACATGGCTTTTTCTGACATCAGTAGTCAGGACCATTCAATCAGTCACCAACACACTACGTCTAATATACTTACAGATCTTAGGCAGGACAGCCAGGATGATCCTGGTAGCTTCAGTTTCACACCGCGTTGTTTTCCGCCTGCCACCATACAGGCGCTTTTCCCCGCCTGCATCCTCCCCAGCCTTCCACTGCTTTTCCTTCCACCCGGTGCATCCGAAACCAAGCTGCTGCGAGGAGAGTGGAGAGATGCCCCGGCCAATCTCCAAGTCCGCGAGCAATTCGCAGCATTCCTCCACGAGCATGGAGGCGGGAGCGATCCTCAGCGGCGAAGAGGACGGACGGGAAACACACGGGATGTTTCACCCGGAGATCGGGTGCCGGTGAAGAGGAAACCGATTTGGCATAGGCTTCGACCATGGAGTTCGGGTGGTTTTAGGAAGGCAAAGAGTTGTCAGGGGTGTTTGTAAACCATCCGAAATCCGTGGTGCTGCTGGTTTTCAACGCAATAATGTTGTGTCGTGGGAATTGATCGAAAAGCGCTCGGCTCCGGAGGCTGGAAGAAAAACGACTCTGGATCGACACTAGTTGAGGACACACACCCAGACTGAAGGGTGGAAGAGCAGTTGAATGATATATGGGTAGCTCTGAACCTCCCTCCCATCCCTCCCACCCCTTTTTGTTTAAAGCCCGTTTGGAGGGTTCCGTTTTCCTCCGCCACCACCGGCCTCGCGGCTCGCTGCCAGGTGACGAAGACGCAGAGCCGCCGACGGGCGTCCGAAGCGGCGCAGAGCTTTCTTTACAAAACCTCGATGTGGGGGGCCTCGGTTTCGGTTTCGCTTCCGCTGCGGCGCGAGGAAGAAAAGTGGCGGACTAAGCCTGGTCTTGGGCTGCCTGGATGTTGGATGATGTTGGTGTTCCTAGGAAGGTGATGAGTGATGAGTGCGAGAATGGTTCTAATTAGGATGTTTTAATGGTGGAGCTGCAGTGCTGCATCCCTTTGCAAAGCATTGTGCTGATCTCTCAGATCAAGGCATTGTAGCAGCACGGAGTGCCATGTTGGATGGCACTTACAACACGATCTCCCAGGCCCACAGGTGTCCCATTTCCCTTTTTGCCTGCCCCGCCATGCTGAAGCCCAGCCTCGATCAGCCTGACGTCAGAAAAGAAAACAACACACCCTAGGGCTCCAAGTACATTCTGACAAGCTGTTTGGGATGGCTTTGGAGGGTCCAGTCATACCATCGGAGGCACAAAGGTCGCAGCGTCACTCGACCTGACGACTTCGACCTGACTGGACGCGAGGCTTCCGAAGCTGAAGCATGCGGGGACCGCTTCGTTGGGTGCAGAGGAGACCTTCGTGATGTAGGCGCGCCGGCGGCATTCGTTGCGTGAGGCGCGCCATTCGGGGGTTTCAACGCCGTGCTGGCAACGGGCAGGAACGATTCCGCGACGTATTTGGGGTCGTTCGCTCTTTTTTAGCTGGCGGCATCCGAATTATGGAGGTTTACATGGCCCCCTTTGGCAAACATGGAAGTGGAACATGGCCCCTTTGGAAAACGTCTATGTTTTTGTTCTCTAATCAATTACCAATATCTACTAACATCTACTACAGTAACCACTTCCGTGATGATTTCAATGTATGTGGTGGGGTATTGCCCAAGTGAGAGGTTTTTGCATTTGAGCTTGAGCCCACTGTTGGTCTGCAGAAGAGGTGCGATTTGATCTCAGCTCCACAATTAGTTTTGTTAATGCTTGGTATACAGAGTTTCTCGGAATGGACGCTTTTCAATGTGCTTTCAACAGGAGAGCGGAGAATAGGCCCCAGGCCCCCACCTAATTTGTTGCTCCCACATGATTTTGGAGAATTGAATTCAAAGATCGCTGACCAATTCTCAACGAAAGAGGAGCGCTGTTTTCCGGCGCTTCTGTTTGTAGGAGCCCATCCCGCTCAACTAGGGACCTCCAGGACTCCAGGACAATAGGGACCTGCTGAAGGTCTTCACCTGTCACACCAAGTGCAGCCACTGAGTGCTGTGGGCGGGGCAACGACTGTTAATAGGCCTTAAATGGTTGGACGTACATGGATTTCCACTGACCAAAAGCGACACTCAAAGGCAGGTCCCAATCGAAGAGCTGTGTTTCTTTATTGCATGACCAGAAATTCAGGAATGAGATCAAGGATGGTGACTCAAGTCACCAGTCCAGGTTTGTGGCTTGTTAATGCCCACTCATGGTCCGATCTTCTAAAAGATCTAAAAGTTCTCAAAGTTACCAGCGAACCGAGACAGCCCGATGTTGCAAAGTGCCGAGATGCATTTGGTTGGAAAGAGACATTGAGATCTGAACACCTGGCCGCAACCCCAACGTGAACTTCAGCCTGAACTATCGAACGGTCGGCAGAAAGACACTGGTACCTGGAAAACCAATATAGAGAGAGCGATATTCTGTAGGCATTAACCATGTTTTGAGGCCTCCAACTTGTGCATGTTTTTCTTCAGAGACCAGACCGACCTGACCTTTTCCATCCTTTTCCCTTTTCATTCCAACTCCTGCGGGCTGAGTCGAACGGCACAGGTGGCCCACGTGTTTCAAGATGCGGTTGACTTGCCAATTGTTTTGCGCAAGTTTGTGGAGTTGTGAATCGGTCGGGGTGACCAACTGGCAAGACATGCTACTCGAGCTATTGGAAGATCCTATGAATGGGGTTAAGCTTGGAGGTAAAGGATTTTGGTTTGGTATCTGAGTGGAATCAAGCCAATGGAGTCCTGTATTGACCTCTTTAAATTACTGCATTGTTGCATATGTTTACTCAGTCATTTGGTCAGGCTTGTGAAGGGTATATAGTAGATGCAGTTTGTTTGGAGCGTCAACTCAAGATCACCGGATCACCCCCCGATCCACCGGCATCTGCCACCAATCGCGTGGGAGCACACACGCATTGATGTTTTTGATCGTGGGAAGACTCACGCTTGTTTCACCTGCCAATCTGTGCGCAAATGCGCTGGCTTTTTTCCAAGAGATTGAGCTGCCTAAGGTGCACCCATTAAACATTGGAAGAACCTTGCAGGCCATACAGCGAGAGTCAAGATCGACAGTGCAGAAGATGTTTGATGGCTTCAGGATGTTGGAAGAATGCAACTTGATGTTTTTTTCATGTTGCTTGAAGCTGGATGGCTTGCTTGAGAGGATTGAAGTGATTCACTGTTGGTGGTTTGCTGTTATTGAGTTAGGCGAGGGCAACCATGGGTTTGGGTTTGATAGTTTTGATCTTGTATGCCGACCCTTACTTCGTTGCTTGGACCTTTACGGTGACCCCCAAAAGCATCCAATCATTCCCCCAACCCTACGAGCCTTCTCGAGCCCTACAACCCTACGCCTGACCCAGGATCTTGCTTCTCACCATCTCGGACGTCCGAAGAGGGAGACCGGCGAGGCGATAAACCTGGAGGCATGGTCCAACGTGACCTCGGAACATGCGTAACGTATAGAAGTATAACTACCATCATAGTACGCCTACTTATATATAATGTTTATTAATGTTTTATTTAGGTACTTTGGAGGGTCCAGAGTCCAGGAAGAGCAGCGGCAGGACCCAGAAAAACTGAGCCAACATGAATGATTCATGGCCGATGTCAGCCATTGGGGCCTTTTCTGTCGGATTGAGAATCAACTAGCTTGACATACCTTGACTCTGCCATTTTGGGAGGCGAGTCTCCATGGACAACGGTTCACCAAAACCTTCTGTTGAACTTCGCCACTCCCTTCGCGCCGAGACACCCCGCCGGCCATTTCGCTGCCCGTGGGCCGAGACCTGCGCATGATAACCGAACTCCCCTGCGCATGGAAGAAAGACAAGGGTGACACAACATGACGGACCTGGAAGCACCTCGAACTACTGATGCTTGTGATCATCACCTATAGCTAGCGCCGCAGTGGCATGTGGCAAACCAAAAGATGAAGCGCCATCACCTGAACGGCTCAAAGTATGGGCCACCGATCCAAGTTGATGCCCCCATCTTGGAAGAGGGTTTCAAAGATCCTGGTTCTAGAACCCAGACACTCCATGTCATGGAATATAATTGGAATAATGTAAGCAGCTTACATTTATCCCCCCAAAACCCCGGGCAAATATGGCAGTCCGCTGGACTGAGTCGGAGTCATGCAGTGCCAGAGATCCCAGTACCTTCTCAGAAGGGAGCATCAGGGAGCTGGAAATCTAGTCGTACCTTCTCAGAAGGTGAGCGGGGATATGTGCTATTTATGTAGGCGCCAGGGGGGCCCAGTCGTACCTTCCGCGAAGGTATGTGGATCCCTATAGGGTAGAGAAGCTCTCTGAAGAGATCGGAGAAATGGGGGTCCAACCCGATCCAACCCACAAAGGATTCCCCTCAGGCATAAGCAGCTGGGCAAGTGACAGAAGGCAAGGGACAGGTGGTGTTTCTTATTTGTGGCCCCTCAAACAAGGGCAGTCGTATGAGGATTTTTGTGGATCATTCCATGTTTTAAGCTTAATTTACAGGGAGATCACACTAGACAGACATGTTTTATTGGACCCAAGTCAGGAGTCCACAGGGACGAAGAACAGGTCCACAGTGGCAGCAAATCAGCTGTTGCATTTGTGGAGCATTTGCAGCGGCTACGCAAGCCAGAGGGTGCCAATGTTGGTTACTGACATGGAGTGAAAGGGAACTGTCATCACTTAAACAAGTTGTTGGTTGTTGTTTTGCTCGCTGTTTGACTTGTCTCAGCTGGGTTAAACCCAACACCCAGAAACATGTCCAGGGGTTTTGTTCGGCGTCCGCCAAAAGTTTTGGATCCCTCCATTATACACCGAAGGATCCCTCCATGTTTTGTTCATGTTTTTTCCAGGAGATGTAGTACTATACCGTTTTGTTTGATGCTTCCTTTGTTTTGCTTCACCCTTTCCATTGGCGGACCGGTGGTGAATTCAGGTCTGTGTTTTTTGCAGTCCAAAAGCACCACTGAGGAGAATTGAACAACACCAGATCGAGATGAAATTCACTTTTGACGCTCATGAGACGAAGTGACACCATCTGAAGTGACCCGTTTGATGCGGGCGACCTGGAGCCCCTCCCAAAAGCTGATCCTGACTGAATTGGTTTTATGTTGGTTGGTATGTCCGTATGTAGGTCCGTAGGTCCAAAGGCACCCCTTTGTGACTCCTGGTACACCATACTTCGCAATCTCTGTTGCGCATCATTGACACTCACTCCCGGAGTTCACCACCTGGTTGGTACATGTTGGTACTTCGGGTTCAACTGGTCCGCAACGAACTCGGGGGCCATGCCATCTCCACGTTGGCCCATGATGATGTCAGGGAGTGTTTTTCTTTGATGGCCTTTCAGATCAAAGCATGGGTCAGATAGCTTCCAGGTATCCTTGGTGGAGTCACCCCAATGTTCGGGCTTTTTGGAAGCCGAGCAACACAGAAACATGTCATGCTCAGTTTGGACGATGTCATGACGAACTTGCTGGTTCCTGGCTAACTTGGAGTACCAACCACCCACTGGCCCAGAAGTGTTTTGCTTTTGCTCTTTTGAGTCAAACAGTAGCCTTGATAGGGTTCCGGTTTAGCTTAGGGAGAAAATCTTGCGGGCTACACAAGGAACTTGATCTGCCCTGGCTGGCTTGTGGTACACTCACGCGCCTAGCGAACGGAACCGGCTTCGGTTCGTGTTCACGGCCGCTTCACGGCCTAGCCGAACAAACCTCAGCTCGGGCGACACTGTCTTCCTTGAGACCGTTTTCGTTGTGGGGTGTGTGAAGGAGGAGGTACAGGTACAACATGTAGGTACTCGGTTTGGATACCAAGAACCCCCTTTGACTTTCGTTTTGATCAGAAAAGACAATTTTGAAGGCTCCCAAAACAGAGATGAGACAACTGCTTATCCAAGCTTTGCCGAAATACTATCAGATAGTGAGAACATGTTGGTGATCATTGTAATGCGCAATCACAACAGCTTCTTGTGATGGAAATGGGAGTCTTCAGCGATTCAGTGATGCTTATCAAGCCAAGGCCAGCCCTCCAGCCCAGGGGAGCTGAAGCATCCTCAAGCCACCAAAGGTCACCACAAAAGATGCTTATTCCAGGAGTCACATAGGGGTGCCCATTATGCACTCACTGGATGGGACGAGCCACACCACCCTTTTTTGACTCCTGGTTTCTATGGGTTTTTCCAACTGGTGATGCTCGCAAGAATTGGCAGAGTTTGCTTTCGGAGTCTTCCCTTCTTTTTTTGTGACAGGTTGTTCTGAGTGGGTTTTGTAGGAGCTACATCACCCGAGAGGATTGAGCTGAAAACACCAGCATCACCCATGGCCGTAACCATCGCTAGTGTTACCGGCCTGTGATCTACTGTGAACCCAGGCGCCATCATGTACTGCGGTGTCTTCTCCTTTACGCTCCGTACTGACGTGGTCAGCATCGTCCGAATTAAGCGATTTCGTGTTGTTCCTGGGTTGATCGTTTTGCTCTGTATCAGAGCAATATCATTTATTTGTCGAGTCAATATCATTTATTTATCATTTAAAAATAGTTTCACAGGGATTTATACATAGTTTCACAGGATTCATAAATAGTTTCAAGGCTGCCCCCCCCAGCAACAGACATACTGTTTAAAGAGGCCCCAGCACCCCTTAAAGTCAAGTATTTTAATATGTATAAACGAAGTCACATAACCAAACAGTGCCTTTCGCCAAACACACAGGGCAGCAAGCAAACAGGATTTCTCATAGAGTGTTGTGCAGAAAGTCTTAATTTTGGTGAATGAACTCCGCCTAGTGTTCAAGTTTTTGTTTGAAGAATTTGAGCATTATTTTCCTGCAAGCCTGCAAGGTCGATAAGTTTGTCCATCAGTGTGTTCAATTGAACAACAAATCAGTGCTTGGGGCTCTCGCAACTTGGTGCTTCCATGGTCTTCTCTAAACCAGTGTTTTGAACGAGCACATCATGAGTCACATCATGCCATCATGCCCTTAAAGAATTGCAGGTTCAGAACGGAGAAAGTATATACATTAAAGCCCTTCTGCGCGCAACGCAAGAGAGTTGTGTGACTCACAAAATGAGGTTCAAACGGACGCTCCGTTTCGTGGGGGTGCAGATCAACCCCGAGGCAGCGTGAGTTTTTCCCCATGTGTTTGATGTATTCGCCGAATCCAAAAGAGATGGGCCGCCTGGTGGCCGGGGGGCTGAGACCATCCGGTGCCGGCTCCTTGGGTGTGGCCGAATGTTCAAGTTCCTATAACTCCTTTGATCAATTTGTTGTTTAATCTAGTTTTTTTTTTGGCCCGCTCCCTCCCCTCCCTACTTATATGATATGATACAACTAAGTGGGCGCCTACTACTTAACTATGTAAGGGAGAGTAGCTAGTAGCTTAAGTAGCTACTAGTATGGCCGCAGGATAGCTCACGCTCGCACTAATGATTTGGTTCCTATAGATGTTTAGGGAAACTTAACTTACCTGTTTACTATAACTCCTTTGATCATAGTTTCCTCCATGTTTCTCCACTTGCGAGTCATCACCCAGCACTTGCGGTCCAATGAATTCCAATCCAGACACGACGTGTTTGCCACTGGCATATTTGCCTACATTTGCCCTTGATGGAATTCATCAGTGCCCTACATTTGACTGGCATATTTGCCTA